TCCTGAATTGATGCAAGGTACTCGTTGTCAGCGAACGTCGCCGACGTTGGTGCAACTGGTAGTCCAGTGGAAGGCAGATACACGGGCTGTGGGGGAGGATCATCAGCGCTGCCGCGGCTGAGCGGCAATTCCAGCTGTAGGCCATCGTCTGAAGTGTCGCCGTCGCTGGGCTGCAGGTTTGAGTCGCCGTCCTGGTGCTCGAGGCTGTCGTGGTCGCTCTGTACCTCCCAGTCGCCGACGACATCGTCGTCTATCAGCTTCTCGCAAGTCTGGAAATGGGAGAAAACCTTTGTGGGTCTTATACTGCAGCCATATGCTGATTTGAACTGATCATGAATGGCTCTGGTATAGGTCCACTACGACCTGTAATTGACTGCAACGCCCTCAACCTAGCCTCCTCGGCGACCCTGTCCAATCAGAGTGCACGTTGAACCGCGTTACAGGTCTCTGAGGACCTTTATGCAACTCAGTAGATAAAGGGTTAATAGCTTTAGAGACTACAGTCGTGCACCTCCAATTCGGCACCGGTATCAGTCGATACCCTGCCAGGTTTTTATGATTACGCGAATCGGATGCGCAATTACCTTTGCCCATCACCACCCTAGCAATTAACCTCAACGGTTTTCCCCTCCTCGCCGACGCCGCATCGATCTGATTTTAAATTTTGGATCGGACGTCTTCATACAAACACACACTTTGATTTTTACCGCCAAATACAATGGGACATCGCCCTTCCTCCTACATGTCACACAAAAGCAGTCTTTGTGCCAGAGCACAAGTCAGATCCTGCACGCTCTTACTCCGAACTTGCTCGTTGGGCAACGGAGCGCTTTAAGACCCCCCAACTTGGGGGCCCCAAGCAGTAAAGCGCACTACCGTCTAGAGTATTCTTGCGGAAGTTGCCGCCTTGCCGGACGCCTATCGCGACCGGAAGCGCTCTTGCGCGCCCGCGATTCGCGCGTCTGACGCCACGATTATGCAGAAGATTGGCGTGTATTTGTACTGAATTAATAAATAAAATATCAGTGCACTGGATGTTTTTTGCTTTATGTTGTGCACTTATGCCCTGGCACTGTTGATATGGTCCGCCCTGCCGAATTGGAGGTGCACGACTGTACTCCCAGAATGCACATCCCAAGCGAGTAGATATCCGATGTAAAAGACGGTGGGGGTCCTTCCAATCGCTCCGGTGACTGCCAACGCACTGGCCCACTATTAATAGAGCTGTGCGAAGGACTCGAGCTGCTAGCTGCAAAGTCCGCGAACTTAGCGTGTCCGTCACTACCGGTCAAGATGTCGCTATAACGTACATTCCCGTGGACGATATGCCTCTCGTGGAGATACAAGAGGCCTAATGCTGCGTCATAAAGAAACTTCCACGGCGTTTGCTGCGTCGCGTCACACGCTGCTAGATGTTTCAATACTGGGCTGACGCGCGTGTTCGCAAACTAAAAAATTGTGTCCGACATCACACGCCCCAGTGAGTTTAATCCAGTGATTGGAAAAAATATAGTAGTATTTACAACGATTTTTCACAATCACTGCTATTGCAGTCTACGCTCGCAGTAACATCTGGTCCTGCAGTCGACTGCAATACCGTCATGCTCCTTAATTTACATTGCGATACTTTATTACCTTGCAATAATGCTTTGCTCTTCAAAATTGCAATTTCCAGATGTAAGCAACTTCAAGTTGAAGCTTTTTTTTTAAGGATTCCGTGATACCTGGGTGGTACACAGGACTATGGCATAGGCACAAGCCTCGGTATAGGATGCAAAGAGGTTGGCAGTGGCGTTCGGTCTGTCATTCTTCATCTTACTCAGGCTCGAGTAGTACTCACCTTCACCGGCTACTCTCGAAGCCCAGCATCATATCTTCATCACCGTCGTCTTCCTCGCTCAAGAACGATCATGGCATTCACTAAGAATAGGGTTCATGTGTCTATTGTTCACAAGCTCGAGTTCGAGGCAGCGGTCACCAAAGTTCAAAACAGCAAGATAAGGGACTTGTCAAGCCGTTAAAGGGAAGTCGTTTAACAATTCGAAATCCGAGGAGAGCATAAACCGAGACACATTGAATGGGGAGATAGTATTAGTTACTATCAGCAACTAGAAGTTCACAAGCGGCGAAAGTTGCATCAAGTCGTCGCGTACCAAGATCTTCGAGGCATATGCGTGGAACGTCAGCATCGGTGGAGCGCTTGTGTAGTTCGGCAAAATACGTGATGACAGAGCGCAGAAACCGGATGACCCCCGTCATATTCGAAGCTATCATGTTTTTAAAGCTTATTGGGATTCTAGACTTGTGGCCAAAGCAGTCAAGAGCGTCCACTATGTGCCTGTGGACTCAGCAAAGTATAAAAATGCATACAGCTGGAAATTGTAGGTAGTGTTACAATTTGGTGCAGTTTCGGTTAGTCATGCAATTGAGTATTGCAATTTCGGGTCGCTGTGCAATTGAGTATTTTTATTTCGGGGATGCCGCAGTTAGTCATTTTTCTCGCAATAATTTCCGGCGGATTTTTTTCAATCACTGGTTTAATCACGAGGGGTGTCGCAGTTGATACCACTGTCCTATTTGTTCTCGGAAATTTGGTAACAGGTCATACATACAATATGAGATGGTATTTTCCGAGCCCTGCACTGCGAACACTATCAATTCTTATCGCTTTCTTATTTAGAGATATGCTTGCTACGAAAATGACTACACTAGTTAACTACATCATACTCAGTAGTAAAGAACCACATTATATCATGAGCAAAAACCTAAATGTGAAGAAACCACGTTTTCCAAAGGCTACTTGGATTGCTGTGTGCGGCACTGGGCGTATCTTTAGGCTTCATGGATTGGTTGGGATGCTGCAGTGTCTGATGTCGGTAAAGGTACCTTTGAAGCGAGGGGGGGGCATGTTCACGAAATTGCACTGTTTGCGTCTTCAACGACGATCGGGTACAATGTAGGCCAGTACACTTGATCACAGTTGACAGCGCGCAGAATAGCTCCTCGATTGCCCTCCGATGGATCCATAAGTATATTTGAGTACTCAGGTGATGGCAGTACTCTAAAGCTTGTGGCCTTACCCCTCGTGAGTTTTTCCAGTTTCGAGCAGTATGTCGATCCACCCATTATCAAAGTGTTTAGTTTTTCAATTCTTCTCTTCAATAGCGCGTCAATCCAAGACCAAAAATATGATACATTTGTGTTGGTGATGTAGATACGCGACAGCATTGGCGACAGGTTCGTCACCTTACGAGGGAGCTCGTTGATTAGCGTATTCCCAATGCCAAGGAGTTGCAACTCAGGTATCTCGAATATTTCTGGTGGTAACTCGGTAATTGGGTTTCCCGTCAGTGCCAGATAGACAGGATGCAAGTGTGTCAGTACTATTGGCACACTAGCTAGTTGGCTGTATTCGATGTAAATCAATGACACGTGGGTGCGGATTATATCGGAGTACAAAAAAGGTGATCTTCGAGTACATGCTCAAAAAGGACGGTTTGCGAGTACAAATGGGAAAAAGGGTGGATTGGCGAGTCCATGACTCGAAAAGGATGAGTTGCGAGCTCCCGATTACACGGAGACCACTATTTATGGCTCACTAGGAAACGCTATTTACGGATATGTGGTGCACCCCAGTTGATGCCTGTCGCAACCAATGGCTGCCTGTGACTGCTGGTGGCTGGCTGTGGCTAGCGATGGTTGGCTGTGGCTACCGGTGGCTGGTAGAGGCTGTCGGTGGTTGGTCGAGGCTTGTTGGGGCGAGTAGTGGGTTTTCTGTTGCTGCCTTGGTGTTCAGTTGTACTCTCAAAGTCGCCATGTCGGTGGCGTTCGCAGTCATCGACGATGGCGCGGGTTCCCCGCCTCCAGCCGACGAGCCCAGCTTTATCCGACTGTCGGTGCATCAATCCCACGAGGACGCGCTTCGGAGGCCCAACTGCTCTACCAGTCACTCTACCGCGTTCAAGCACTCAACAGCGAGCATGACCCGTTCGAGGTGTCTCTAAAATGGAGTGCAGACGATGTACGTACTTGATCTCATCTCAATCCCACATGGCAGCGACGGTTCTGACTGTTCATACTCTAGATCCGAATGGTGCGTCAGTGCTATGTGTGCGATTGCCATGAGTCACGCCAGTCAGGATGGATGCGCGAGCACATTGTCGCGACGCTGGCGCTCCTCGAGAAGATCAGCATCGACGCGCTGTTGAGTGTGCTGCCAGTTCGACGACGCCCGGGAGGTCAGTTCAAATCCCGCGGCGCGCTTGCCCGCACGCGGTTTAACAAAAGCGACGCGCGGTTCTTCGGTGTCTCGCACCTGGAGCAGCTTTTCATGGAAAGCCCCGCCGCGCCAGCACACTGGCACGTGACCAAGGAGTTTAGTGTGAAGAACAGGGGGCAAGTGCTACGTGAGCATGTGCCTGGACATGTCGACCGTTGGCTCGAAAATGGCGGTCGCTATCAGTGGAAGGTCAAGTTCTCAACCGGAAAAGTGGAGCTTATGGACGTGGAACAGCTCGCAGCTGCTGTCGCCTACAGTCACGCACTAGGTATGCGAGTCATCCCATAGTCTCCGGTGACACTGACCAAACTTGTCGGTTCTTGCGAATGTACTCGGTGATCCACCTTTTATGATGCCATACTCGCCAATCCATCTTTTCCCCAAATTGTACTCGCAAGTCATCCTTTTTGTGTGTGTACTCGGAGATCATCCTTTTTGTACTCGCGAGTAAGCTCCTCCCATGACACGTTCATCCAAGCTGGGTCCAAATACTCCGGTAAGCCGCGCAAATTTGTGTAGCAAAGCTCAATATCCGTTAGTTTGTGAGGGAAATCAGTATCGTAGAGAGCTGGAGGAAGAACGCCATCTTTCATGTTCACCCGGGCCATGAAGAGGAGGCTTAATTCGGGGTAGTTCGTGTTAGTGATGGCTGCTGAAACTCCCCAATTGTCGATTGTCGAATTATAAACCTTAATACCACTGACTCGATGAAACTCTGTGATCATGTCTGGTACTTCTAATGATGCACAATGCCGCATGACCAACGTGACAACGCTGGACCTATCGAATTCACTCCACTTCGTCTCAACTTCATTCATTTTTCCGGAGATACCCAGGCGATAGCAATCAAGAACAGCCAAGTAGCAGGCAGGTTCAGACACTGCCCATGGGTGGACTTGTAAGGTGCATTGTGGTAATTCAGGCTGCAAAGCCGCTTGGATGTGAAGACCTAACACTAGCACACCCCAGGCTGCAAAGAGTAGATGTACCAAGTGGAGCACCAATTGACTACTGCGTGATCGCAGTCCGAAGCTACCACCATCGATCGTGGCTACATTCCGCGGCTTCCGACCCGTTCCAATACTTTTCAGAGCAGGGCCCTTGGTTGTTGGTTTGTCTGGTACTTTGATATTAACGGGAGCGCAATTAATCCGTGTGTCCCTGCCACTCGGTAGGAGACGTAATAGCTCTTTCAAGCTTGTAGTCGTGGATATAAGTCCAAGCGAAAACACCGTACGGCTCATCAAGTCCGACCACGAAGTTACAAGAACCATTTGGGATTCAGAATGCGAGCAGCCCACGACTCGCTATACCATCTCTCCATTTAAAGCCGGCCATGTCAGCGTTATACTGATCTATGTAGCTGAGAACAACGATGAAGGGGATGCCCACGCACGACACGAGATCAAGGATACAGTCGCACAATAGACAAGCAAACCGTCTGCGAGCCTCGTTTTTCTTGAATAATAGAGAGTATATAAAGACAGAAGACCAGCAGTTGAGTACCAACAAGCACAGATAAAATCGATTCAGCAGCCAACGTGGAAGATACCAGCTCATCCTGTAAGCTTGTTGTGTTTGAAGAGCTGTCTCCACGAGTTCACGAGTAACTAAGATGGCGTGAAAGTGTCCTCCATTCACCCCCAGAACCCCTTGCCTACCCCACACCTTCGAATATATCCGCTCAGCACGTAATTTAGCAGACAGCAGTCCCGTAGCTACTTTATCGTTGATGTCGGGTGTCGTTTTTGGTAATACTCTTCTGCTGGTATTTGAGGTAGCAGGATCACCTTCTTGGGGCCATGGTGAGAAGGCCAGCTCTTGCTGCCAGATAGACCCTCCCACCATCAGAAGTATACAGATACCATGAAGTGCTGCCATGACTGCGTTCACGTTCGCGATAAGGTGATATTGTTGTATCATCGTGTCAATCCCGATGTACTCGAAAGTAACGTACAAATACATCTCCTGCAGCTCGTAGTAGAACATCGCGTACGCGGCGTTGTATCCAAACGTAACCAAATGCACCGCAAATATGATAACCCACCACAGCGCGAAGCTCCAGGACCCTAAGTCGACGTACTGCGATGTGAAGGATGGCGACTTAGCTTTTCCAGGCATGATACTGCTCTGCAGTGTGCCGAAGTAACAGGTTTACCAACAATGTCAAATCTAAAAATGGGCCTTGGTCTAGAAGTTATGACATCAGCTTGTTATATTTATTTTTATCACGATTCTTATCAGCCATTTTATTTACATGTAAGACACGAAAGCCTATCAATAACTAATAGCGATACTTCAAGTTGAGTCCTAGCTACATTACCAGGGACTTTCGGTGTCATCGTCGCAATATGGCGACCTTACGTTATTCGTGGTGGTGGGTTATCTTGCTCGCTGTGCATTTGGTGACCGGTGGATACAATGCAGCGTTCGCTTTGTTTTACTAGTACACCTATTTGTATCGAACCTCGACCCGGAATGATGGCAAAATGCCCTCCTACTATCACAGGCGTGAGCGCATTACTAGCAGTCATGCACGGTGGCTGTGCTGTTGATAACGTTGTCTCTACGACTATTCGAGAAAAGAGCTCCAGTAAGGATTTTCTACTACCAGCTGCAATCTACCGATTTACCGACTACAAATTTGGGATACATTGTTATTCACCGCAAATTAATTTGCATGTTTGTATTTGACTTGTATTCTCCCGCGTGAAATTTAAACTTAGTCGTCGTGTCTTCTAAAAGAAATCGAAAAGTGATCGTGTTCATCTCGTTGTTTAGTTTTAGTTTCAGTAAAACAACCTTATATTGTCCATGCCCGTCAATTTGGGCACGTCCATCCAGAGCCCATCATTCTACACCCACTGCCGTCACTCAGGCACTACAGGAGTAAGTACCCTTCTAATTAAACTCTCTCATTTTACTAATGCATAATTATTGCAGTACCAAATACCAATCGGCGAATTACCCAAAAATAAGGTTTACTAAAGAAAAATAGGATCAAGAAAAAATGACCCCCAGACGGCACTGAATTTCTGTTTGTATTTAATAATTTCTTAATATATACGAGCGGAAATTTCTCGCACTAAATATTTAATAAATATGTAATAAATACGAACGGAAATTCTCCTCTTCTTCCTCATTTGAGAATCCTACGGCTCGAGGAAAGATGAAGCTTTTCCGTGCGATCGCTGGCGTGGCGGAAAGTGTTTTCTTCGTGTGAGTGGACGAAGGCCAATCGGTGGATGATTTGAAGAAGGCAATCAAGGCGGATAAGTCGAACGACTTCAAACATTTTGTTGCAGACAAGCTGCAGCTCTTCCTGGCGAAGAAAGGCGACGCGTGGCTGCCGGACGACGAAACTATGGACGCGATGTTACGAAGCGGCGTAGTTGACACTTCATATAGGAAAATGCGCCGCCCATCGTGGAAGCTAAACAAGCCGAGTGTGACGTGGTGGTCACTAGCCAATGGCATGGCAGTGACCAGCCACGTCAATTATTTGAGTTCAGCTGGTCAGATTATTCTGATCAGCGTAAACTTAAGATTGCGTGTCTTTACATCATACTACAATCCTATTGGTCCAAAATCCCATGGATTTGCAACAATCAAGCTTCCAGCCGGAAATTGTGATTATGGGACGCTGTGCGAAATTTCCGACCAAGATAAGAATTAGGATTCATTGGCTTTCATTGGTAGTTACAGAGACAATCAGGATTTGAGAAAGGTAGGTTTTAGGATGGACCTGGATACGTGCGTGAATATCCGGTTGTCAAGAACTACTGGTTGTGCGGCAGCTACTAGTTTGCCGCCGCCAACTCCAACTGATTAATCACTTCTCAATTTGCTTTCGAGCAGCAACTCCTCTCCTCCCCTACAACTGTCTACGGCGCCGTACTCGCCGTCCACGCTCCTACGCTTCCTCGCTACTTTCTGACATAGTAGCACTTGTCGTGTCAAGCTTCGGTTCAAGTAGGGCACTCGTGGTGGCATAGCCAGAAGGGAGTTGTCTAGAGGTTATTGGTGCCAGCCACATAGTTGGGGAAGCACTAGATCACAAAGTAATTTGCCTCAGCACGAACTGCTACGTTCAGTGGCTAGTTGGTGTGGCTGCGCACTAGTGTGGTACACACAATCGGAAACTCTTTCTGGTTGCCTTGGGTCTAACGCTTTCACGTTAAGTGGATCCTTATCCCACATCAGAGCTAAAAGGAGCGAACGTCCGATTAGATACTCACTGGTTGTGCTTGATCTACATCCGTTGCTACTGCATCTGTTTCAGTGTGCTTGTTTATGGGTAAGCGAAAGACTCGTCAGCACGAAGATCCGTTTGTAAACAGCACAAAGTCCTTGACTGATCGACACAAGCAGCTCGATCAGCTTCGTCTGGACTTGTGGCTAACAACGGTCAAGCAACTTAAGCTCGTCCGCCTGATCCGAAACAAAATTCCGGATTCTAAGGACGCAGCCGCCCGGAACGTCATTCACGACTTCAGTGAATTGCTCAAGAAACGTATTGAGCAAACCCAAGAAATTCTTGAAGGATCTTTTGATCACTCCATCCACGTAGACAAGAAGCGTAGATTGTAGGGAGGAACTTTAATCGGAACCTTTTTTCGCTTCGTTTAACTTCGGTATAGGGTTCTGGTATCTTAAAAGACTTGCGCTGAGAAGTCCAGCTTGTAATGGCTCAAAGAAGGAGTCGTGCAGCTGAGCGCCCGTCACCGAACCCTCGTCCTCGTCAACAGAGCCGTGTTAGTGCTCCGAGCGACGCTGAAGCTACCCAACCCACGATGCGAACAAATACAAGATCGCAAGCGTCAAGAGAAGGGGCCAGTGCCAATGCACAGGCTGAGTCAGCCTCCCCTGCTACTGATGCTGCTCAGGATGCGGCTGGACCTGAGACCATCTCCATGCAGCAGCTGCTCCTATACATTACGCAGCAGCAACAGCAGTATCAAGCTCAGATGCAAGCGCAAATGCAAGCCCAAATGCAACAAGCTAATGCGAGATTCGAATATCTCGTTGCCGCTAGGGGTGAGCAGAAGAAGAAGGACCCTCCGATGTATGAAGGAAAGTATGGTGAAGACATTGAATTGTGGATCTTTGCCACCGAGCAGTACTACGCAAGCAGACGTGAGTTAATGAAGGCAGAATCGTCAGGTTTCGTGACGATAATCTCCAGCAACTTAGGCAAGTCAGTGTTGAACTGGTATCGCGCTTTTATAGCCGAATGTGAGAGAGCGAGTGTGAACCCCACGTGGTCGTCGTTTAAGCAACAGCTGTGCACGCGCTTTCGACCAAAGGACTTCGAGTATAATCTTCGCGAGAGAATGCTTCGTCTCAAACAGACCGAGACTATTCACGAGTATGTCTCCAAGCTTCAAGACTTGCTGTCGCAGACAGAATTGACGATCAGTGAGTTGGAGAAACGATTCTTCTTTCAAAACGGGTTACGTGAAGAAACAGCAAAGAAGATCAAAGAAGAGAGTCCATCAACGCTACAAGAAGCCATTGAAATTGCTTCGAACTTCGAGTTTGTGCACTACTCCGGGAAACCTCCTCGAGCACCTTCGAAGCCTTCAAAAGGGTCGTCGGACTCGGGGGATCATCCGCCTAAATCGAAACAGCAGAACAACAAGCGTTACGAAAAGAAAAAGGGCAAGAACGATGATTGGAAAAAGACAGCTACGTGCAGAAATTGTGACAAGGTTGGTCACATTTCTCCAGATTGTACTCAGCCAAAACGTACGGAAGCAAACCGGTACATGCAGGGCGCAGTGTATGCGATCTTAGAGGCTGAAGCTCGAGCATTCAAGACGGAAGACCAAGAGAGGCCCGTCACAATATTCATTGACAACGGCAGTAGCCTGAATGGCGTAACTGAGGAGTTAGTGATAAGGCTTGAGTTGGATGTCACTGAAGTTGACATGATGCAAGTTGATCTCGGTTATGATCAGATTGTGCATCGTTCCACGTCCGGACTGTCTACAGCTACCCAGGGATTTCCCCTTGACAACGGGAACATTTCAAGTCATGCCTGTTCCTGAGGGAAAAGGACATAGCTTTAGGCATGATGTGGCTGCGGGAGCAGACCCTGACATCGACTGGAGTACTGGACAGATTGCACCTCGCATCAACGTGGAGAACACGCAGACTGTGATGTTGAGACTGCCGAAGACACGTCCAGCCCGTTGGGTGGCAGGACAACGCCGCGCCAGAATTGCGCAGAGCCGTGAGATCTACAAACAACGGCCAGTTTGGACGAGCGAAGGTTTTTTCGTCCAACCAGTTCCAGCAAATGTTGCGTAGGGACAAGGACATCAAAGCGGTGTTTGTTATCAATCCGCATGACTCGGCGAAGGCGGAACGCTTCAAGAGTCAAGGATGGGATGCTCTCAAGGACAATCCGGCGTACGATACGCTACATAAGTATGCGGATACGGTTTTTCGCACGGATCTTCCGAATGAGACACCCCCAGTACGTGAAGGGATTGAGCATGAGATTCTGCTCAAGCCTGATACTTCGCCTATTTCGGTGAAACAATGGCGCCAAAGTCCTGATCAGAAGAAAACGATACAGGAATGGACCAAATAGATGGTTCAAGCTGGCATCATTCGACCGAGTACGTCAGCGTTTTGTGCACCGACTTTCTGTGTGAAGAAACCTGTCGGATGACGAATTGTGCACGACTATCGTCAGTTAAATTTAGCTACGGTTCTACCGGCTATTCCGATGCCTCGCAAAGAAGACACCTTTGATGCGATGACCGGCAGCTATTGGTACTCGTGCATGGACTTATCTGGGGTTACTACCAAGTTAAGCTACGTGAATCAGATATACATTTTACTGCTTTTTCGACTCCAGACGGTCTTTTTGA